AAATAATGCGGGAGGTTTTGTTTCCTCAGAGTTTTGGAGAGCTGGCCAAGGGTGCAATCCTACAGAGCCTCAGCCGTCTCCCCTTGTCTGAACTGCCCCATGCTCTGAAGGCCCCAGACTCTGCTGCCCTTCTGGCACCAACTGGCCCCTTTTCTGTGTGGCTAGAGGCCAGGGTCCCTGTTAGTCTTGTTGTTAAATCTTTTGGTGTTTGTGTCACATAAGACTTCATAATCAGTGTTTTTCTGTCCATAATGCCAGCACCCCAAGAGTGACTGAGCCGGCATTTCTGTGCCCTTTGGCAGCCTAAACTTTCCAGCTGTGAGACAAGAATGCTAGTGCGGGCATCTACTGAGCCAACCCATGAGTTCTGAAAGAGCCCAAGAAAGCTGCAAATCACTGCTATTATTCCATAATAATAATCCTGCATAATAGTCATACTGCTATTATTAATTCCTCATATAACCTTCAGGTTAAGAGGGCCATGTACATTACACTAGAATTTGGTGAGATAGAATTTTCCTGATAAAATGGTGTATCTCTTTTTAACATTATGACTGCCATGAATATTTTCATTTTTTCTGTAGGAGACTCGGGACGGGGACCTATGGAGTAATGTGGGATTTAAGGAGTAGTATTTGGCCAGGAGAACTGGGATTATAATTAAGAACCAAGATCACTGAATTCTGGTGGACAGGAAGTAGAGATTAGGAGAGTGAGCTGTGGAGTCAGGCCAAGGTCAGTTAAAGCAAGGACCACCCCCCACCCCTTCTGAGGCATGTAGTCTCAGGCAAATTTGCTGTCTGCTCTGAACCTCAGTCTCCTTCTCTGTGTAACATATGCATCACAGCAGGGTTGTTGAGATGGTCACGTCAGTTAGCACAGGTGAGGCACCTAGTTCAGAGTAGTATACATACACACATGCACATGTGCCCATTTCTAGAGCTTTTCTACACAGAAAAAAACCAAGAAGTCAGTACAACCTGCTACAAGAGATAGATTGAGCACATGTTCAAAGCAAAAGCAAACAGACATGGGGATGCAGCCTAGACACGACAGCATGTCCTGGTCAGGGTGTCCCTGAATCACCAAGGCACAGCTGAGTGACTCTGGGAGCAGCCTTCATCCTGACTTTGTTCTCTACACTCACCCCACCCAGCCTGAGAGACAGAGCTCCCCTCCCTGCAGGAGAGGCAGCCCAGGCTGCAGGCCAGGGGAACCTGGAGCACTGGACACCTGCGAGACAGGGCTGTGTGAGGGCTGATGTGGCAGGTCCCCTCGGCTACCTGAGGAGCCCTCCACCTCGAGGCAGCCCAGCAATCAGGAACACTGCATTCAGGGACAGCTCCACAGTGATGAAGTGTCCCATCTGACACCACCTATTTCCAGATCCACAGGGTCGCTTGTTCCACATCACACCGAGAGCCCTATGACCTGCTACCCTCTTCCCGGCACACAGCCCATCTCACAGCCACAGGTACCTTGTCAACTCTGGCTACGGAGCACTTAGGAGGAGCCCTTTGTGGGGCCTCTTGCTTGGAGCCGCACTTAAACGATAATGCATTCTCCTCAAACCCTGGGGAGCCCATGACAGTGAGGTGTGACCTGGGCTTTAACACCAGCACCTGTGCTATAATCCAAGCCATGCAGCAGAGCCCCATGGCCCTGTCACACCAAGATTCCCTACCCAGGCTAATCAGGATCCATTACAGCTGTGCTGGGAACCAGCTCGGGGGATCACTCATACTAACCCACTGTCCTGACAGCCCTCCTCCAGAAGGATTACAGCATTTACAGTCAGAAATCTCTTCTACCCTTAGTGAGATGGAGGACCATGGCCATTGCCCGAGATGTTGTTCTCTGTACTTCTCTTTCCAGGCATGCTGGTGAGGACAAGGAGGCAGCAAGGTGAAAGATGCACTTTAGGAACAGGGAAATCTCAGCTGCCATCTACATGACTGGGGGACTAGGGAGGACAGACAGGCTACTGAGGACCATAGGAGCCAGCCGGGGGCGGGGGGGTAGAGCAAGCACCATGCTGACCCCTCCCTTTGCCATGGTGAGCACCCGACGTCTTCCCCATGGCCTCCTGCTTTCCTATTTCTTGGGGGTTGACAGGCTGTGTTCAGAGTAGATCCATGATAGCAAAGAGGGAAGTTCTGAGGAAAATGTATCAGTGCTATTGCAAGCCTTAGTAACACGCTGGGCATAATTCAAAGCACAATCCAGTGTGGGAAAAGGCTATGGGATTGAGCACTCCAGCATCTCACATGTACACCTTCCAGATGATCACAAGGTGCACTTGGGTTGGAGAAGCCTTACTGGGACTGTTAGAAAAATGTCGATGTAGAAAACCGCATACCTAGTGAACCTGAAACTGCCTTTTTAACAAGATCCCCATGAATAGAAAGCATGGAAATGCCAGTGGAGTGAGATTCTACTGCCTTCTACCCCCATAACACACTTGTGGGGAGGGCTCACTGACTGACAGATTGGCTGTCTGAATGAATAAAAGGATGAATGAATGAAGCCATGTGTGGGTTTCTTCTGGGCATTCACACCTACTACTTCATGTGCTATGACCCAGACTGACTTGGGTTCAAAAGCTAAAGCCATAGAATATGCAGGAATTCAAGAATAAACCACCACCTAAGTTGATAGAATAGTTGCAAAATGATGGGAATTTTCAACAAAATACCTCCTGGGTTTTTAAAGATTTATTACTACTGGGCTCTGTGCCATTAAACCTCAGAGTACACTAAAAAGAGTTTTAGGTTGGTCATTTTGAAAAGCTGGGAAACCAGGATTGGTACCCTGGGAGGAGCCAGCCCTTCCCTGCAGTTTGGGCACAGGCGGGGGGGGGGGCTCGGGTTGATTCCCCACCCCCCGGAAGAGGGACCCACTTTACCCAACTCCTCTGGCTCTGCTTTTGCACTCCTGTGATGGCACCTCTGTGTCCCTCTCCACAGGCCCCTCCTAGCCTCTCTCAGCCCAGTTTGTGCACACAGTTGAAGAGGCTCTTCCCATGCCAGCCAATGAGCTTAATGGAGGCCATGGGGCTCCCAGGTGAAATGAGGAGAGAGTTGCATGTCCAGCCCAGTAAGGACTTGGTCGGGCACCTGATATGGAGAAGGGTCCCCAAAAGGCCCCTTGGTCAGGTCAGGTCCCTGCTGCACTCTAGGACTGCCAGCATCTGCCATGCTCAGGAGTTCGCCAACTGCACTCAGGACATGCAGTGCCCAGAGTTTCCTCTTCCCTGTGATATTCAGGGCTCCTCTCCACTTTCCTGATCCAGGAGGGAGCAGGAGCCAGGGAGCACTCTGGGGACCCAGGAAGTGACAACCTGCAAGCAGGGTTGATGGTGACGGGTGCAAAGACAACACCCCAGACCCAGGCACCAGCAAGGCTCTTCCTGGGTGTGAAAGAGGAAAACTCATAGACAGTTACTGGTTAGGGAATGACGACAAGAAAAAAGTCTGCATGCACTCAGTAAAAACATGATCTTTATCCAAATGTTTACACAGGGCTGTCTGTTCACATGCTTGTCATTTCCCCTTCTCTGCAACTTTCCTTCATCAATACTATTATCATCTGCATTTTGCAGATAAAATAACTGAGGCTCAGAGAAGTAACTTTTTCCAGAGCATCTCAGCTCAAGGCAGAAAGGGAACCTGGAGAGTCTGATGCCAGAGTCAGCTTTCCTGGCCATTTGTCATCCACAGTCCCTTTCCATGCTGTGTTTTCTATTTCTATCATAGCTTAATGGCTTAAAACACCTATTTATTAGCCCACACTGATACAGGTCAGAAGCCCTGGCATTACTCGGCCACGTGCTCTGCTCTGTTCTCACAAGGCCAGGGTCAGGGTGTCTGTAGCGCTCATGCACTCATCTGGAACTCAGAGACCCTTTTCAGCTCCTGTGGCTGTCAGAATTCAGTTCTTTTCATCTGTGGGACGGAGGTCCCTACCACCTTCCTGGCTGTCAGCTGAAAGCTGTCTCAGCTCTGAGAGGCAGCCACGTTCCTTGCCATTGGTCCCTTCCATCTTTAAAACCAGCAAAGGAGAAATCTGCCTGTCATCTAATTTCTCTAGCAACTGAATCACCTGCTTCAGGAAGATCTAGTTCCTTGGAAGAACCTCTGTGACTAAGCCGGGCTCACCCCATATGTCCTTCCTTTCAGAGGGTCAGTTGTGCTACATAACATAACTGGGTCATGGGAGTAATGGTCCCATCCCCAGATTTTTCAAGGCATGTGTATCAGGGGACATTTCTGCCTGCTTATGTGTGCCTTCTCTCTATGAGGTAGTCTGCACTCTATGCCACCTTTAATGTTTCTGCTGACCTTGACCTTGTCCTTGAGGGCACTGGGGCAGCCTACTCACCAACCAGTTTGGAGCATTTTCATATTTTAATAACCATACAGTCATATAGATTTGCACACAATATCTCAAAATGAGACACAAATGTGTCCTTCTCCTCGACTCTCCCTCCAGTGTCGTCCTAGGGCCCACATCTCAAGATACAGCATACGTACATAAGACAGGACAGAGAAAATCGATGCAGTTGTTTGAGACTCCTACTTTCACAGATAAAGAAACTGGGTCTGAGACAAGACTCCCAGCCTAGTGCTGTCTGCAGCAAGGCCCACCGAGCCCCAAGTGTGGCTCTGTCAAACTACTGTGCCGGACTCCTGGCTTTCTCCCCTGTGCTGGGTGGTGCTGCACTCCTTGTACAGCAGTCCATTTAGGTGGATGTCAGATTCACTCTCATCATCTAAAATACAGCTTCCTTTGGTCTCTTTTGAGTCTCTCTCCACTCATGTTTAATATCAAAAGGACTAAGCCTCTTTGCTGGACTTGAAGCACTGCTTTTCTGAGAGCTTTCATCTTGTCTCGGCAAGGCTTCCCATCCTTGGGCACAGGCGGTTGGAAGATGAAGAGTAACAGGCTGATGGGGTGTTACAGAATTCGCTCAAGTCACAATTTTGTCTGATGTCCTGCAGGGAGCAGCTGGATGACTCAGTTTACCTCAGCCAGGCCTGCACCTGTCTCCTGCCGCTCCATCCGCACACACTTCTGTACAAACCCTGGGTTCAAAGCTGCCCTGCTGGAGCATAAACACCAGGAGGGCTGAGTCTGCATATATCATCTGTACTGCTTTATGGCCAGCTCACAGGACAAGGGCTGGACGGTAGGGGTTCTCAGTCAATGCTTGCTGAATGAATGTGTAATTAATAGAATGGTTCATGAAAATCTGATTAAAGAAAGCCATCTCCACTGTCTTTGAAAACCTGTTTGGCTTGATGGGCACTGGATGTCTTAGGGTGGGCATGTTGCTAACCCTGCAAAGAAATTTGGATAGTAAAGGCTCTGTTCCAATTAGCTCAGTATATGCCCCGCAAGTTGCCCTGGTGTTAGGTGTTCAATGTAGATGCTCCTTGCCTCTCTTTCTTCATCTTCAAAATAGGGCTAATTGAACATTGCGTTAAGTTTAAATTCAAAGAGAGTTCATAAATATGTTGATCCAATAAATATATATAATCTTCTTTGAACATTGCATTAAGTTTAAATTCAGGGAGAGTTCATAAATAATCTAATAAATATATACTCTAATATATATATGACAAGGATATATTCTGAAAAATGCAAATTAGTTGATTTTGTTGCTATGAAAACATCAAACACAATGGAGCAGCAGTTAAGATGGCTACAGTATCACTAGATGCTGTAATTTTATGGGATCACCATTGTAATGTATTGATTAAAATGTCATTATTTGGCCCATGACTATGTACACTTAGGCTTACATTTATGCATCTAAAAATATATTTTTTCCATGGATCAATGAAGAAACAAAGAATATTATCAGAGATTTATAGAAGAAGAAACGGAAGCCCAGCAAGTTAAAGTTAGTTTTTTGTGGACCACAGAGCAAGTTTGTTGGACCTGAGCGAGAATCTGACTGTTGCCCTGGGCCAAGGGAGGACTCACTTCTGTTCATGATCCCAGTACACAGGGAGAATGTATACCAATCTCAGATCAGAAGTAAATGCCCTTTTCCTGTCTTCCAGACACAAAAAGTTTCCAGACCTGGGTGGAGGTGTCCTAGAAAACATCTTTCTGTTTCTAGTACAGCACATGGGCTTCTCCTACAAGAACATATGAGAGTATGTTTAAAAATACAAAAGGAAACAGTGCAGAAAATCAGCAGAAAGCTGTTCTCTTGCAAGAGCTGAAAGAAGGATAATGCTTTCCCCAATGCCCTGGCCCATGACTCACTCACACACTGCACTGGCGCAACCCAGCCCCGATGGCTGGGAGCCCAGGCAGCCCTATCACAGCCCGGTTTGAGTCCCAGTTGCTGAGGTTCCCAGGTACACACAGGGCCTCAGGCTCAGCAGCATACCCCACATGTCTAAGCATCTCTGATGGGGTTTGCAATGCAAAGACTCCTATCCAGAGGCAGAACAAAATGTCACTTGGGACTCTGCAAAGAAACCTGAGCCTTCCCCTCCTTGTTTCATTTATCTTTGTAATAGCCACATGGGGCCAGAGAGCAGGTGTCTGTGCAGAATGGGAAATGGCTGATGGATGTCTGAGACAAACAGGCCTTCATATGACTCTTCACTATGACACTTTAAAGGTTACCTTGAAATTGCCGCAAGCACCCAGGCATCAAAGGAAAAAGTCTGTCAGGCCTATCTGACCTCCCAGGATGGGTAAAATGGCCTTGGTTTGACAATGAAGGTTGGCTCGGTGAGGTACAGAACATTCACCAGGTTGTTCTATCAGGTGGTCTTTTTGTGGGTGTTCTGCCCAGCTAAACTTACAACTGGAATAGCCCCAAAAGTGGTGGCACAGGAGTTCCCACAAGGGCCTGCCCCCAAACTACCCCAAGAAGGGGCTGGCTGGGGTTACAAAGGAGTATTAATACCAGAATGATCAGTCCAAAGCATTTCTGGGGGAACTTAACATCCAGAAGGATGCAGCAGTCCTTGTAATAAGTGGTGAGGAGAGGCGGATCTACCCAGGCAGGGCCACGGGGAGGGGCAGGGTTGGGATGGCGAGCTACATGGGCTAGGAAACTTGGCTTAAGACCAACGCTAGTTAAGCCCTCAGGCTCAAGTCAGATAAACCTAGTGCCAAACTTTACCACATGTCTGAAAAATGGACACATAATAACTACCTGTGTAATAGCTTTATAGTAGGCATAAATGAGCTAATGATTGTAAATTTCTTAGCGCAATTCCTGACTCTTGAGGCTAAGAAATTCAGTTGTTCTTATTACAGAGATTTTCATGGTTTTATTTAACTCCATCAGAGTTTTAAAGCATTTTAAATGGGTTTGGGTAGAACATCAGACAAAAAGAGTATCTCAGGTGTCTGGGTATCTCTTTGAAGTGTGGCAAGTCCTTAACACATCTGTTTACAGTCCTTTTAAAAGCCTGGAGACATGAACATCCTGATCATTTCAATTTCTTAGGGAATACTGAATCAAAAATATTAAGAGAGGATCTACCCAGCAATTTGTCATTTTGGTAAGTGGCCACAGACTCCCCACTCAGACAGTGAGAGCCACCACTTGGCGAATCAGACATACACTACCTTTCTTTGTGTCTGCTACTAAAAACTCCCAGATGAAAGGAAGGGAGATGAACAGGTATAAAAGAAAAAGCATAAGATTTGCTCCAGGAAAGCAAGAATCTAAATATCATCTCTACCAGTGTTTGTTTGTTCATTTGGTGGCCTGGGTGTCAATTACCATTGCAGGCTCCTACTTCCTTATTCATTCATTCATTTAGTAAGTATTGTGAGTACATAGCACACACCAGGCTATTTTCTAGGTGCTTGGAACATACCAGGGAACAAAACAGGCACAAAGTTATGCCCTTGTGAGACCAAGGCATGGTGCAATGTGCCCCGTACTCTGGGAGGCTGGGCAGGAGTGTCACAAGTTGGAGCCCAAGTTAGCAAGACCCTGTCTCAAAAACAATTTTTAAAGGGGGGAAGGGCTGCTGGCGATGTAGGCCAGTGCAAAGGTGCTGGGTTCAATCTCTATTAATGAAAAAGAAAAGCACTGAGGAGCTTACATTCCCACTGGAGGAGAGAGACTATTAGAAAGCAAAGCAATACATAGGCACACAGTTTATAACAAGGATTACAGTCTTTAACTCCACAGGTTATTGTGATTAAATACTGTACCTAGAATGTAGCAGGCATGTAATATATGGTTATAATGACTATTTTTAAAATTGCTCCCAAATACCTTTAAATACTTCCTATGTGGTTTGCCCAGAAGCACTATTCAATTATTCACTAAACAGGAATCTGTGGGAGGCATCAGGGACACAAAAGAGTCCTAGAAGAGCACAGGGTCCCGGCCTTGTGAACTTCCCAGTCCAGGCCGCTGCTCCCCAAAGCGGAGGCCCTCGAAAGCCTTCAGTCTCGTGTCTCTGTGAGTCCCTGCGGTTCCCCACTCATGATGATGTCTCTTAACCCAATGCATCCCAGCCATGGCTGGCGATTCTAGGAACGCTATGAACCAGGACATGGAGATTGGAGTGACGCCCCGGGACCCCAAGAAGATCCCCAAACAGGCCCGCGACGACACGCCCCTGGCCACGGACCGCACACGCCTGCTGGCCGAGGGCAAGAAGCCGCGCCAGCGCTATATGGAAAAGAGTGGCAAGTGCAACGTGCACCACGGCAACGTGCAGGAAACCTACCGCTACCTGAGCGACCTCTTCACTACACTGGTGGACCTCAAATGGCGCTTCAACCTGCTCGTCTTCACCATGGTCTACACCATCACTTGGCTGTTTTTTGGCTTCATTTGGTGGCTCATTGCTTACATCCGGGGCGATCTGGACCACGTGGGCGACCACGAATGGATCCCTTGTGTGGAAAACCTCAGCGGCTTTGTGTCTGCTTTCCTGTTCTCCATTGAGACCGAAACGACCATCGGGTACGGCTTCAGGGTCATTACGGAGAAGTGTCCGGAGGGCATCGTCCTCCTCCTGGTGCAGGCCATCCTGGGCTCCATCGTCAACGCCTTCATGGTGGGCTGCATGTTTGTCAAGATTAGCCAGCCCAAGAAGAGGGCAGAGACGCTCATGTTCTCCAACCACGCCGTCATCTCCATGCGGGACGAGAAGCTGTGCCTCATGTTCCGGGTGGGAGACCTCCGCAACTCACACATCGTGGAGGCCTCCATCCGTGCCAAGCTCATCAAGTCGCGGCAAACCAAAGAGGGCGAGTTCATCCCCCTGAACCAGACGGACATTAACGTGGGCTTTGACACTGGGGACGACCGTCTCTTCCTGGTGTCCCCGCTCATTATTTCCCACGAGATCAATGAGAAGAGCCCTTTCTGGGAGATGTCTCGGGCCCAGCTGCACCAGGAAGAGTTCGAAGTGGTGGTCATTCTAGAAGGGATGGTGGAAGCCACAGGTAAGACCTTTTATTTACCTCAGCCACAGGATCCCCTTACCCTCCCAGGAGCTTCACCCACAGCACCTCTAAGAGGCGGACTGGGAGAACCTTGAAATGGTACAAGCAGCAGCCCATCCCTGGTTGTGATCCGAGGGTCCTGTTACTCAAGATCAAGGAGTAGCAACAGCTAAACTAGATGAAGCTCCAACTTCCAGGCCTGGCTCTACACTTTAAACATAAGTCCTATCATTTGGTGCCCTCCTGCACCACTGTAAAATAGTGTTCAATAAGAAACAGAGGCACAGACGCAGCAAGTGCTACTGAGTCTAGAGCCAGCATGCCGATGAAGCCCAAATGTGGCATTCGTTTCCAACAGGCCACAGCAGCCCCCATCCCGGGACAGGTGTCAGCTGACTTTGGGAAACCTGGGAGGACACAAAGGTGAGCTGGTTTTGTAGAGCAGGACTTCACCATATCTGTACACACTGTGAATCTCATCACCAGGAAAGGGGCCAGCATTTTCTAAACTCAAGGTGATTCGCACAGTCCTTCTTTAAGGGACACCTATGGCCCACACTGGCAGAGGGGTTCTTCCCGTGCATTCCTGTCTGAAGCAGCCAGCCTCTCACTCAGCTTCCCTCCTGATGGTTGGCTCAGGAAACCAAGGTGTGCAAGGCCTTTTCCTTACAGGAAACAGCACATCCAAGTTGACCCAAGCACATCCACATACGCCCAGGAAGATGCCCACTTTGTGGCCAGCCTGGCCTCCTGCTGCTCGGCTACCAACTCTCACAGGCAGCGGAAGCCGGGAGCCTCCATTCCTCAGCCACACGCCCCGGGTAGATCTCTCTCCAAGGAGCTCAGGGCCCAAGGGTGCCTGAACTCTCCTGCAAGCACAGACCCAGCCCTTCATCATGTCATGGGGCCCACTTCCTAGGCAAGGGGACCCACCAGCAAACTGTTGCACCCTGCTTCTTATTGCCTTTCTTCCTTTCCCTTTTTCTCATCCAGCAGACTGAGCAGCAGGCCAGACCTTACCAATGGCTTATCAGAAACCCACCCATGCTCAGAATGTGGCACATTCTTTTTTTCTAATTTTTGCAGACAACATCAGTCTGGCTTCAGTCCTGTACTATAGATATGGGGGCTGAGCCTCAAAAGAATCCTTCAGATCCTGACTGTTCACACTCAGGCCCTTCACTTACAAATCTAGGGCTTTTTCTGGCATAACACACTGGCCCCCAAAATGTCAAGTGCCTGTTACAAAGGTGGCCAACCACACTACCTAGACTTTGAAGCTGGTTCCTGGGTGGGGGACTCAGCCTCTCCACGCACGTTCCCTTTTCAGAGCTACTGGAGCTGGCCAGGGGAGTGCCATGGGGCTCTAGAGACTGTGCGAGAGGGGGCTGCTTGGCCATCTGCTGGGGGCTGGAGCCTGACCAGGCAGCATATGGTGGCAGCTGCAGGGGCCCCTGGGGCTGAGGACAGTCAGGATGCAGGAAGCTGCCTCCTGCTGAGCGGAGGGCTTGTGGGTCACCTTGCCCTTGGTGAGAATCAGAATCAGAGTACAGGCTGTTTCTGGGGAAGAGTTCCTCTCCAGTCACAAAGGAGGGATCAGGTCAGAGACATGAAGGCAAAGAAGAAAGCCATGCCTTACCTTTCTCCAGACATGCAGCAGACTCAGACCCATGGCCCTGCTGGCTCCTCCCCTCACATTTCCCTCAAGGCGCACACTAAGCTGTCTGAACTGCTTGACCTCCCCTCCCACAAGCTGGGCCTCCTTGTTTTGCTTAGTGTAGGGACAGCCATGGAGATCAGGGACAGAGACCTCCTGCCTAGATCTGTTCTGACCCCAATCACTTGAATTGTCTGGTTGTCAAGCTCTCAGACCCAAGCTTAGGTGTGAATTCAGGGCTAGTTTTGAACAGCACCGCTCTGCCACAGCCTGTACCTGAGTAATTTGGGCAGGTGGATTGAGTTGTTGGCAAAATGAGGCAAATCAACCTCATGGGGTCGTTGGGAGGATTAAATGACTAAATAAGGCAATACAGGTAAAGCACAGGGCCAGACACAACACAAGGAGAGTCCTTGCAAATGTATTGACAGTGACAGAATCTCAAGCAACCAGGGACACAGAACTCTAGTGACAGCAAAGCCTGTGTTGTGTCACTAGAGGACGGACAGGAAGAAGAGAAGGAAGAGGCCAAGAGGGCTGCCCCAAAGGCCCCTGTGGAGGTTCTGCCAACTGCAGGGCTGGGAACCTGCAGCCATCTAACCTTGGGCCAGGTGGTCAGTGCCTAGTTTGTGTCCCTGCACCTCTGCTGAGGCAGGATGTGGCAGGGATGGGTGAGAGACTGGGCCTACCGAGGCATCCCTTGAGAGAGGAGAACAGGCCACAAGCTGCCTGTATCTGGGGCTCTGGGGTATGCAGTCCCTGGGCCACAGATGGGTGGGACACAGCCTTTGGCCTGGGTTTGGTTTGTGTGACACCCTTCCCAGAGAAGGCCCAAGGTGGACAGGTGGAGAAAACTTCTCCTTCAGTGTCCAATCAGTACCTTCCTTGGACAGACTAAATAGGAAGCTGCTTTCCTGTGAACCTAAGCACAAAGGTTGCCTCATACATAAACAAAGCTGCCTTCCCTCTCAGAAGAGAAAGCAACACCTAAAAATAACACAAGCATAGCATGGGCTATGTGGGGCAGGAATATAGGCATTGGAATGTCCCAGATCAAAAAAGCCAAGCTCTGTGTGTGTGTGAGTGTGTGTGTGTGTGTGTGTGTGTGTGTATTTTCCCTCTCCAGTGTGTGTGGTTGTGTGTATGCATGGGTGTGGGTGTGTGTATTAGTGAATGTATGGGTGGGCTTGTGTGTCTTTGTATGTTCCTGAATGTACAGGCTTTTGTCCATATCTGTCTACCTGAAAAAATCCTGATATGTTCTAAATGCCTATCAGCTCCTCTTTGTTCCCTTGCTCATTAATTTATCTTTAAGTTTTCTTCCTACCTCTTCCTGTCCCAGTCTTCTAGATCTGAATGCTGTTCTCAGGAACCATGTTATTGCCTCTAATGCTGTTTGCTCAGGTTTGTAAGAATGTACTCCAGAGTCTTGCGTGCATTTCTAATTTTATGCCCTCACCATATCTGAGCTCCTTCACATCAAAAATGATGTCTTATTCAGATTTACTCCTGAGATGTTTAGCACAAAGTAGATGTTCAAGAAATACTGGGTATATAGATGGATGAATGGATGGATGGTTGCACCTTAATGCATGTGGTTTGTTTCCCCAGGCATGACTTGCCAAGCACGAAGCTCTTACATGGACACAGAGGTTCTCTGGGGCCACCGATTTACTCCAGTCCTCACCCTGGAAAAGGGTTTCTATGAAGTGGACTACAACACCTTCCATGACACCTATGAGACCAACACACCCAGCTGCTGTGCCAAGGAGCTGGCAGAAATGAAGCGGGAAGGCCGGCTCCTCCAGTACCTGCCCAGCCCTCCCTTGCCCGGGGGTTGTGCTGAGACAGGGCAGGATGTGGAAGTTGAGCAGGATGAAGAGGATGAGCCTGATGGACTGAATGGGTCCTGGAAGACCAGGGGCTCAGTCTGAGGACTGTATGCTCTCCACAGCCTCCTTCACTAGCTTCCCTGAACACAGGTACTGCAGAGCCCAGAAAGGGTAGGGGAATTAGCTGCAGTTGTATTTGGAGGCATGGGAGCTGTCAAGGACTTGTGGGATGGAACCACATATCTAGCCCTCACAGCTTACAGCTTATGGCTTCCTCAAGCAAGTGGCCTCCCATCTGGTCCCTGGGCAGTGCTACCTCATCTCCCAGCACTGGCTCAGGGACAGACCAGGATGGAGTTCCCACAGTGAAAATCACAGGGTGGCATCTCTCTTCGTTCTGCCTGCTGGCCTCAGGTCACTTCCCTCCCTGGGTTTCACAGTCCTTTCCAGGGCTGACACCTAGAGAGGGCTGTCGGCCCGTCCCCCGCTCCTCCTATCCTGAGGGCACTGTGAGTTCAGTGGAGAGTGGCTGATGGGTGTTCAGACACACCTCTGGTGTGAGGACAAGCTCATAGCACCCTGGTGGGTTAGGTGTCTGAGTCATGGAGGCACTCCATCCCTTTTAAATAGGGGGCCAAGAGCCCTGTTCCTCTCTTATTATCTGCCAAGTTTGTGTGTTTCTCCTCTACTGTGTTCTGTGTGTGCACTGTGACCTACTGGGTAACTGGCCTCATTCGCATGAACCTGGACCACTGACCACCTCTTGAGGACATTCGTGGTGGCCATAACAACCACTCCCACTCACACTGTGCCCTTCACCTTCCTCCAAGGAAGAACCTCAGCAGCTGGGTTCTTGTATGCCTTTTTTGGCCCAAGAACCTCAAAGTGCTTCTAATCATCACTGTAGTTTCTTTCACAATCTCAGACAGTCTGTGATATGATCCTGGGATGAAGCTGGGTTTCAGAGATCCAGAAGAGCCAGCTGGTACTGAGAGAGGCAGAGAGGAAAGGGAAGCAGAGAGAAAGAAAAGCAACAAAAAGTGTAAAATAAGCATCTACCCAACTTGTTACCCAGACACTCTGTGAACTCGAGGCCTGATATACCTTGGCCTTCAAGGGAAGAAATAGGATGTGAAGCGGAAGTGACAGGTGGCTGTAAAGGCAGCCTCCTCATCAAGCCCCGAACTTTCAAACGGGTGCAGAGACTCTGGCAGCCAGGGCCAGGGAGGATAGGGACAGGGCTGCCTCTCCACACTCAGGAAACAGAAAGCTGAGGAAGCAGCGGGGAGCACTGCAGAAGGGAGTGAATGTTATGAGAAAAGGAGTAGAGAGGAGCCTTACCATGAACAGCTTCAGAGACTTTTCCATTCTGGAAGATGGGTAGTGCAGACTGTCAGGTCAGTGAAGCATGTGTTGAGAAAGGCAGGTTTGTGCTCAGTTTGCCCAGGCTTGGCAACAGGGTCCACTTGTTCCCAGGTGCAGAATTTTACAGGACCCCAGCACAGTGTCTCTGGCTCCCAACCGGCCTGTGAACGTGGAGCACTTTCCCTGGGAACCACGCTGAAATGGATAAAGGCAGAAGAAGGGAAGAACTTGCAGAGCTCAGGCCCAGTCCCCCTCAGTCCGGCTTTCTAAGTTCTAGGGCTAGTGAGAAGAAAGTGGCGTAGATTAGGAACCCCACCTTGTGGGCTGCTCACACTGTGGCACTGGGGGTGGGGGTGGGGTTCCTCATTCTTGGCACCTTTGCTGGCTTTTGAGAGGTGGGCTAGGACAGTGGTGGGCAGGCAAGCATCTTCCTGTCAAGGGCAGGGTGCTGGGTGGTGGTTGCTGGAACCTGTATTTGGTGGAGCAGGTCTTGCAGTAAATGCAGAATGGGCTGCAGTTCCCACCAAAAGAAACAGAAACAGCCAGCTGACTCCACCCCTGTGGGTGAGCTGCATGCAGAGTCTAGGGGAGGGGCCTATCACTGAGCCTGGATGCCTGTTGAGGGGAGAGGCTGCCACTGAACTCCCCAGTGGAACTGGCACTCCCCCGGCTCTCCAGATCCCAGCCCTATACATAGGACTCTTCCCACATCCCCGAGTCAGATGCCTGTTGGATGTGAAGATTCTTATGCAGGACTGGTTAGTGCCCTCAGGACCCAGCCCACATAGCCAGACAAGGGTGGGCAGCCACAGAGGAAGCTGGTTTGTGGCTGGACAGTGACCTGGCTCCTGTTTCATATCTGCCTCCATTTACAGTTCTGACATACCCCCCAATTGGCCAAATGAGTTTCTCTCTAGTTCTCTACTTCTTTGTCAGGGCCTCTATAAGCCAGGGCCAAGTCTCACCTCTCCACCGGCTGTAGAAGCTGTCAAAGACAAGGGGATCAATATGACCCTATCCTAAATCTCCCCAATAGGCCAGAGCTATGTTCACTGGAATTGGTGAAATACTAATCCCAATGTGCTCCTTCTGGTTTCCATCATGGCAACCTAAATGTAAGAGGACTGTCTTTCATATCCCAAGGAACTAAAGTTTGAAATTTTCTTCAAATCATTTTCTGGACATTATTAAATAAACATAGACTTATTAAATACAAAGTCTGATGATGGCCAGGATTTCAGTGGATCACTTCCAAATTACTGCTCCTCATGCAAGCCACTTGTAGTTCATGGCCTTTCTTACCTGGCTCTGAGCCCACATCGCCACTGATAGGAGATAGAGAACTGAACCAGGCCTTAAGGTAGTGTCACTGGTGACTCCCTCAGCCCTCAGCATCTGCAGAATCCCAAAGTGATAGCTCACCTGTTAGACCCTGACCATCTAAAGAGAGGAATTCCTCCCTTAATCCCCATGTTCTTCCTCTCTGGAGACATCTATAAGGGACAAGTCCAAGGCAACTCAGAAGCAGATAAGCTCCCACTGGTACTGTCTTCTCTTTCACCATGTTGACACCACTATCCACAGGATCCCACTCCCAAGCCAGGGCAGAAAAGGCTTCGCCCACCCTTTGTCCTTCAGATGCTGCTGCCACTTGCCTCCTACACAAATAGGGAAGCGTATGAAGCCCTGGCTCCATCCAGCATTTGACCTTGATGGAGGAGAAGAAGCCCTGTCTGTCTGTGCAGCACCTTCCCTGCTGGGCCCCCTCACTCACAGTCCTTACCCATGGCCTGCCTTTCAACTTGCCTCAACCTTACATCTTGTGTGAGGTCTCACCCACAGATACTTAAATCGCTTCTATTAAAGTTGCCAAAAAATCTGAAGTTGCCCTTTGTCTTCTATGTTCCAGAAACGTCTCTGTATGTGTACCATTGACTGAGGAGGACACTGGCCGAGGCTTACAGTTGGCTCTCAGAATGCTGCAGAGGACCTCAGTAACCCTTGTTACTAATAAGTCTGTAGGGGTTCAGAGAGGTTCCCTGGTTTGCTTAAGGCAGCAGATAAGAGGCAGGGCCTTGATGCCAACCACCTCCCAAGCAAACACGGTGGGGCCATCCTGCAGACACACTCCCTGGGGTCAGGCCATGGGGATAAAGAGAGTCGATCTCTCTCTGTGGCAGCCACAGATGTGTGTGCAGTGCTGTGCAGCTACAGGCCCCCACCCTCACCCAGCACTGTTCTCCCATGGCAGGACAATCGGGAAACACATTTTACTTCCTTCTTTTTTAAATTTTTATTTTTATTAGTACGTGTTTGCAGTACATTACAGGAAACACCTTTTCCTGATTCCCAGAGAACTGATGAGCTGTGAAAAGAGATTAGACAAGGAAGAATTGCTTTCCAGAAGAAGCCACTTACTCTTCGGGGCTTGATTTCTGCTAACAACATCTTCTTAAACTGCTGTGTCAAATCTTTCTCCTTGTGCAGGATTTGTCAATCCTTTTTTTTTGGTACCTGGGGATTGAACTCGGGTCCTTATGCTAGCAAGGTAGGCTGTATAACCACTGAGCTAAATCCCCGGCCCCATGTCAATCTTCTTATATATAAAAAAAAACAAAACACCATTACACTGCCAAAAATTCACCCAATAAAGTGGACCTGACTCTAGGGAACTCTCTCTTATTTAAAATAAACCACAAGTTTCCCCTTCAGATGCATTGCCAGTCTGAGCAAACTTGCCCTCCTCACTTTTGTTAATCTAAAAATGCTGGGCCGAGGATTTAGCTCAGTGGTTCTGCCGTCTGCCTCGCAAGCGCAAGGACCCGAGTTCGATCCCCGGTACCAAAAAAATAAAATAAAAATGCGATATCAACATCTAGTCTGACAATGAGGTGGGCATGTGGGCACGGGAGGGAAGGACAGACCCGGAGAGAGGCCGCTGCCGCAGGTGTTAGGGCTCAGCCTCCACAGCAAAAGCACAGTTCAAGATAGGAGCAAAGGCAGAGAATGCAAGCAGCCCATGTGGTTTGGCACACTGGACCATTCATTCTACCCCAAGCAACTTTCATCTGTTCTTTTTTTTTTTTTTTTTTAGTTCTTTTATTGGTATAGGTATATTTTAGGTATACAATTCATTTACATTTATCACTGGGTGCTTGTACCTGTACATGCTATATCTTGGTTCTTATTTTTTTTCCCCGTTACCTGTGCGCCCTTCACCCCCTCCACCCTTCCCTATTTACACAGACATCATTTCAATTTTTTTTCTTTTCTCATAGTTTTTCCTTTCCCTCTTTTCCTTTCTCCTTCCCCTCCCTTCACTCCTTTGTCTTTGGACCTTTTTTCCTATTCAAATTATCAATTATTCATTTTAATCATTTTAACCCTTGTTTACACTTTCAGTTTCTCACACTAGAGAAACTATTCGGTATTTACACATGTGTGTCCTATTTATTTCACTTAAGAATATGGCCTCGATATGCATCCATTTAGTTATAAATGACTCTATTTTTTCATTCTTTAAGGCTGAGTAGTACTCCATTTTATTAAAAAACCACATTTTCTTTATCCAATTTCCAGTTGATGGGCACTTGGGCTGCTTCCAAGCTTTAGTTATTGCAAACTGTGCCGCTATGAACTTTCATCTGTTCTTTAATGTTAAATACTCAGAATCCACACCCCTTAAGTAATAAATCATTTAGAAATATCCACTTGTTTTGGGAAACTTTGAAAATATCCTCTATAGGGAGCTCTAATGTAACAGTCTATATTCATGGCACAAATTTAGAAAACGATACCACAACCAAACCAAGGGGAAAGAGTATGGGAAGCTGTGACAGCTAATATTGGCAAAGATTTCAGGACTCCTCAGGTGAGGACAGAGGCTTCTGTTGAAAATGTCCGTGTTAGTAGAGGACTGACCGTGGAAAGCACTTCTCCTGGGGCCACCTGCTGGCAGTATCTTGGAGTTCAGATACAAGTCTGTCAACTGGAGATCCCTCACTTACAGCACCTGGAATGAGAAAGCAACTCTCCAGGGCTTTGATTCAGCATGAGAAACAACATTGTAAGTTGGGGGTGGCAGTGTGGCCCTGCAGGGTGTGTGGGCTTTTCCCATGTCTGGTGCAGCAAAAGCATGCACCACCATGCTAACCACACTTGATCTTAGCCAAAAGGCTGAGAAGCAATCCTACCATGCTAATCAGACAGAAGCAAATCAGCACATGTCACCAGGGCCAAGTGCAGGCTCGGAGCTTCAGCCTCAGCAGTGGACAAGAGTGCCTGGTCACACTGAGTCTTCCGGTGGAGACCAAAGACAAGCAAGTTGTCCAGGAAGTTCTGGGAATAGCTGTAGGCTTCCCTGTGAGGACATCCCTTGCCTAGGGTTCAGGGTCAGAATGCTAGCATGGAGACACAGAAGGTCAGGTGGTCACATTTGCCAGTCACACCTAGATTGCAGTCTGAAGAAGGAGGACTATACACATCTATCTAATAACAAGCAAAACTTGAATGGGTACCCTTAGAAAACTCACCCTGGCCCAGACCTGCTCTGATTGTGCCAGTCAGAAGACCAACATTGATGTGCACATAAAATATGTCTCTTCGGACTCTATTAGACTCTAGCAGTAAGGCATATTGGCACATGTATGAAAAATAAATGTCTAGGAAGGCGCTTTGCAAATAGAAATGTTACTGATTTTCTCTAAGGACTATTTACTTTCACTCAGAAGCTGCTATTCAAATAACCTTGGCTCCTGTGCTGGAGACACACATCTTAAATCCCAGGGGAGAATTAATTGGGAATTCAGGTGCCTTCAAGTGCACTTCAAGCCTGTTCTTCTATGGAGTGGCAAAAGTATAAGCAGAGAGCCAGGGCTGAGTGAGATGCAGTTGCTGGTAAGAAATACTTGATATGCACATGCATTTAGGATCCTTCTGTGTACACACACCAGATATTACTCACATTCCAAATCGCCTCTTAAATAAGCACACCCATGCAAGAGGCTGCAGCCAGCCCTGTGTGACCCGAACATTCAAGGCAGTGATGTTTTCTCGCCTAACTGTGCCATTACTTGAGGAAGAGAGCAAGTTGGGCTGTTCAGGAATTTGATCACCATCTGTTCCTTTCCTGATGGAAATCTGCTGGCTCAGGTCCATGAGACAGCTGGGAAAGAAGGATAAGTGTTTGCTGAGCTGACTGCACCCTGACAGATGGAAGCTGCTGTTTCGGTTGCCAGGGTCATACCCACTTGGCCACTGCACTGGCAGAGCCCCCCACACCACCCCTTCAGCACCAGACTAGAATTCTCCACACCAATATGCCCCATCTCCAGGAATCCTCACAGCCTGGACATCACTCCAGTATCCAACTATCCCAACCACTCTCTCTGGGCTCTGCGGAGCTTTGCTAGGTATTCTGACAACCATTTCACTGTGGTACTTTGAAAACTATGCATCAGAAAACAGGCCTGGGCTGGGGCTAGAGCTCATAAGGCTCTGAGTTCCATCTCCATCACCAAAAAAGAAAACAAGAAAGAAGAAAGAAAAGAAACAGAAATGACTCCATATAATGCCCAAAGGTTCTCAGACTTTTTGTTGCTATAGTTTCCCTGTACATACCACCATTTCATAAATGTTTATTACGCATCTTCTGTGTTCCGGAAGCAGGAATAGGCACTGTGGATTCAGCAGTAATCAAGACAATCGTAGTCCAATGTGGCTGCTCTGACAAAATACTTCAAACCAGGTAATGCATAAACAATGGAAAGTTATTGCCTGTGGTTCTGAGTTCAAGGTCAAAACACCAACAGATTCAGTGTCTAGTAAGGGCTGGTTCCTCATAGATGGTAACTTCTACACATTCTCATGGGTAAGAAAGGGCAGACAGCCTCCCCCCGGCCCTTTTATGAGGGTACCAGTTCTATCCACAAGGCTTTCCCCTGGGTGACCTATTCACCTCCCCAAATTATCACCTCCTAATACCATCACCTCAGAGATTAGGTTTCCGCAGATGAATCTGGGGGACCCTAACATTCAAGCCCTAGCAAAGATGATATAATCTGTTGCCTTCATGGAATTTACTGTCTAGTGGAGGGCAGGGAGAGACAGAGGCAGAAAAAGCACACAAATAAAGGAAATACAGTTTGCAGGAGAATACAAAGGGGACAAACAGGACTGAGCTCAAGGACCACAGGACAGAGGGCAGGGACTGACTCTCTGTGGGACTTGTCCCTGTGGCAGAAACTTCAAATAAGGCACAGTGGCCAAGGTGTGTAATCCTGAGCAAGAGGAAGAGTGTGTGTAGAAAAGACCAGGGCTGCTGTGGCCCTGAGGAGAAAAGGAAGGAAGGGTAAACTCACCCATGCCTGCCCAGAACCTCAGTGCAGGGTTTGGGTTTCATCCTCAGACAGGGGACAATGACGGAAGGGCAGAGTGGTCCAATGTGATTCCTCTCTTAGGTGGAATGCATGACACTTCCCTTCTCTAGGGGACCCAGATGATCAGCCATAGAGGGCATTTCTAAGCTGCTCAGGCTGGTTGTATCCAACCCTGTCCTTCAAAGTCTAAATCCACAGATAAGCCTAGATACTTCTTCATCTTTGTCTCCAAGTGGTAAACTCAAGGACATTTCTAAGCCACACTGCACACATTCATCCTAGGTATTTGTTATTATTTGGCTCCCAAATGTCCTCCCAAAGGCTTATGTGTTTGGAAGGTGGCTGTACTAATCCATAGCTTCATCCACCTGCTAATTTCAGGGGCTGAGTATGCTACTGGGATCTGTGGCCTGGTCAGAAGAGGCCAGTCACTGAGAGTGGAACCTGAAAGCCTATATCTCCCTCTCCAGCTCCTCCCTTCACTCTCTGCCTCCTGAGTGCC